GGACAATGACCTGCATCGCTGACGACTCGGATCTCAAAGATCTTCTTGTCTTTAAAGCTTTCAGCGCTACTGAATCACACCGTTTCTGATGTGTTGGAAAAATTTGTGGCATACAGCTAATTTGGTGAACATGAAAAGTGACTGTATTTGCCATTTATATACTTCTACAATATTTTATGTATTCATATTTTATATATATATATATATACTGTATATGTGTGTATATATACACTCACCGGCCACTTTATTAGGTACCCCATGCTAGTAACGGGTTGGACCCCCTTTTGCCTTCAGAACTGCCTCAATTCTTCGTGGCATAGATTCAACAAGGTGCTGGAAGCATTCCTCAGGGAGTTTGGTCCATATTGACATGATGGCATCACACAGTTGCCGCAGATTTGTCGGCTGCACATCCATGATGCGAATCTCCCGTTCCACCACATCCCAAAGATGCTCTATTGGGTTGAGATCTGGTGACTGTGGAGGCCATTTTAGTACAGTGAACTCATTGTCATGTTCAAGAAACCAATTTGAAATGATTAGAGCTTTGTGACATGGTGGAAGTAGCCATCAGAGGATGGGTACATGGTGGCCATAAAGGGATGGACATGGTCAGAAACAATGCTCAGGTAGGCCGTGGCATTTAAACGATGCCCAATTGGCACTAAGGGGCCTAAAGTGTGCCAGGAAAACATCCCCCACACCATTACACCACCACCACCAGCCTGCACAGTGGTAACAAGGCATGATGGTTCCATGTTCTCATTCTGTTTACGCCAAATTCGGACTCTAACATCTGAATGTCTCAACAGAAATCGAGACTCATCAGACCAGGCAACATTTTTCCAGTCTTCAACTGTTCAATTTTGGTGAGCTCTTGCAAATTGTAGCCTCTTTTTCCTATTTGTAGTGGAGATGAGTGGTACCCGGTGGAGTCTTCTGCTGTTGTAGCCCATCCGCCTCAAGGTTGTGCGTGTTGTGGCTTCACAAATGCTTTGCTGCATACCTCGGTTGTAACGAGTGGTTATTTCAGTCACTGTTGCCCTTCTATCAGCTCGAACCAGTCTGGCCATTCTCCTCTGACCTCTGGCATCAACAAGGCATTTCCGCCCACAGAACTGCCGCTCACTGGATGTTTTTTCTTTTTCGGACCATTCTCTGTAAACCCTAGAGATGGTTGTGCGTGAAAATCCCAGTAGATTAGCAGTTTCTGAAATACTCAGACCAGCCCTTCTGGCACCAACAATCATGCCACGTTCAAAGTCACTCAAATCACCTTTCTTCCCCATACTGATGCTCGGTTTGAACTGCAGGAGATTGTCTTGACCATGTCTACATGCCTAAATGCACTGAGTTGCCGCCATGTGATTGGCTGCTTAGAAATTAAGTGTTAACGAGCAGTTGGACAGGTGTACCTAATATAGTGGCCGGTAAGTGTATATACCTATATTATTATAGAATAATGGTTTTCTATTTTAGTTTATTGTAAAATGTAATTTATTCCTGTGATCAAAGCTGTATTTTCAGCATCATTACTCCAGTCTTCAGTGTCATGATCAAATATAATTTAGTATCAACGTTGGAAACAGTTGTGCTGCTTAATTTTATTTATTTTTTTCAAATATTTATTCAAAATAGTAAAGATTTATATTATCAGAAAATAATTCTATCAATTTAACACATCCTTGCTGAATAAAAGTAATAATTTCTTTTTTTTTTTAAAGAAACAAAAAAAAATGACTGACCCCAAACTTTTGAACGATAGTGTATATTGTTACAAAAGATTTCTAATTTAAATAAATGCTGGTGGTTTTTTAAAACTTTTTATTCATCACTAAGTATCCCGTAAAAAAATATCACAGGTTTAAAATAAAAAATAAAAAAATAGCACAATTGTTTCCAATATTGATAATAAATCCATATTAGAGTGATTTCTGAAGGATCATGTGACACTGAAGACTGGAGCAATGATGCTGAAAATTCAGCTTTGCATAACAGAAATCAATTATATTTTAAAGAATATTAAAATAGAAAACTATTACTTTGAATTATAATAATATTACTGTTTTTTTTTCTGTATTTTTGATCAAATAAATGCAGGCTTGATAAGCACAAGAGACTTAAATAGTAATGTTTCCATATATTTATATATATATTAGGGGTGTAACGATACACGTATTCGTATTGAACCGTTCGGTACGAGGCTTTCGGTTCGGTTTTCGGTACGCATTTTTGAACCGAACGGTTCGTTGGACCATTTTTCCTGCCGACCAAAATTTCGTTATTTCAAATGAAGGCGCGTCACGCCTGGCAAGCGCACTCATAATGTGCGTGACCACAACATTGCCCAACATCAAATGGCAAATGTAATGTAAGCGGAACGAAACCACTCGTTATTGTGTGGTTGAAGGACCGTTTATCAGTTTGGACCAATGCAGCGCGAGCCGATCTTAATCATCAGCACTGTTACTACACAGCCAAATCCAGTAAAGAAAGCATTTGAATTCGCCACTGAAGTAATAACATCGCTGCAAGATCTAGTGAGAAACATTCGCATTTCTCCGTTATTAACGGATCAAACAGCGCTGACGTGGAAAACAGGAAGAAACATTGTGCCATGAATGAACTATCCAGTGTCCACAGATCAGCAACATTCACCATGGGTTTACTGTAGTAACACTACTAACTGTAACCATGGAAGTTTGGCAGGAATAGTAGGCTATAATGCTTTCAAGTAACATCACGTCGGTTTTATTTTGACATTATGAATACAATTGCTGCCCTCAAATGTTAATCTGAACTAAAATAAACCTTTGTTTATAACTACTACAATATTACATTTAATTTTGTCCAAGGAGCTGTTTTGTTTTATAAGCTCCTAAGAAAAGTCAAGTATAGCTCCATCATTGCTCAAAGTTAAAAAATATCATACTTTATGATGTTAGTTTTAATAAAAATATAATTAAAAAGATTAAATCAAGGAAATTTCTCTGGCATTTCTTTCTTTTTGCTGTATCGGAAACGTACCGAATCGTACCGAACCGAACCGTGACACAAGTGTATCGTATCGAACCGAACCGTGAATTTTGTGAACCGTTACACCCCTAATATATATATATATATATATATACACACACATATACACTCACCGGCCACTATATTAGGTACACCTGTCCAACTGCTCGTTAACACTTAATTTCTAAGCAGCCAATCACATGGCGGCAACTCAGTGCATTTAGGCATGTAGACATGGTCAAGACAATCTCCTGCAGTTCAAACCGAGCATCAGTATGGGGAAGAAAGTTGATTTGAGTGACTTTGAACGTGGCATGATTGTTGGTGCCAGAAGGGCTGGTCTGAGTATTTCAGAAACTGCTAATCTACTGGGATTTTCACGCACAACCATCTCTAGGGTTTACAGAGAATGGTCCGAAAAAGAAAAAACATCCAGTGAGCGGCAGTTCTGTGGGCGGAAATGCCTTGTTGATGCCAGAGGTCAGAGGAGAATGGCCAGACTGGTTCGAGCTGATAGAAGGGCAACAGTGACTGAAATAACCACTCGTTACAACCGAGGTATGCAGCAAAGCATTTGTGAAGCCACAACACGCACAACCTTGAGGCGGATGGGCTACAACAGCAGAAGACTCCACCGGGTACCACTCATCTCCACTACAAATAGGAAAAAGAGGCTACAATTTGCAAGAGCTCACCAAAATTGAACAGTTGAAGACTGGAAAAATGTTGCCTGGTCTGATGAGTCTCGATTTCTGTTGAGACATTCAGATGTTAGAGTCCGAATTTGGCGTAAACAGAATGAGAACATGGAACCATCATGCCTTGTTACCACTGTGCAGGCTGGTGGTGGTGGTGTAATGGTGTGGGGGATGTTTTCCTGGCACACTTTAGGCCCCTTAGTGCCAATTGGGCATCGTTTAAATGCCACGGCCTACCTGAGCATTGTTTCTGACCATGTCCATCCCTTTATGGCCACCATGTACCCATCCTCTGATGGCTACTTCCACCATGTCACAAAGCTCTAATCATTTCAAATTGGTTTCTTGAACATGACAATGAGTTCACTGTACTAAAATGGCCTCCACAGTCACCAGATCTCAACCCAATAGAGCATCTTTGGGATGTGGTGGAACGGGAGATTCGCATCATGGATGTGCAGCCGACAAATCTGCGGCAACTGTGTGATGCCATCATGTCAATATGGACCAAACTCCCTGAGGAATGCTTCCAGCACCTTGTTGAATCTATGCCACGAAGAATTGAGGCAGTTCTGAAGGCAAAAGGGGGTCCAACCCGTTACTAGCATGGGGTACCTAATAAAGTGGCCGGTGAGTGTATACTACTGATATATATATACAAATATTTAAACTTTGACTGAAAATAGTGTTCTTGTAAAAGATCCGCCAATAAACTTTTTAAAACCTCAAAAAGTATTTTTTCACAGTTTATATGATTGTGCCGTGTGCATTTAAATGAAGTCAGTGTCATTATTTTCTGGGCACACATGCCTCCTTTTTTATGCAAATAGCGCGTGCTGGATTAAGAGGACATCACTGTGTGGCTGTTAATTGCTATTAACGTCTGTGTACAGTTGTTATCGATCGTGTCCGCAGTAATTCGTTAAGTGATGGATATATCCAGGCATATATCCAGAAGTGAAGTCAAGCGCACCTTCCGCATCTGTAAAGTCGTCAGATCCGGCCTGTATTGTGGGGAATTGCTCGCAGCACTAATTTTGTAGGCATGTTTGTGGCATAACCTGATTTGCATAATTCCTTTAGTGAATCGAGTGCTGAAACAAAGCAGTCTATGCTTGCTAAACAGCACTATCAGTGTGTGCAATTCATTCTCACTGAATTCTCCCTTGTGTGCGTTTCTTATGGGCTTTTGTTCCATACGACGTGTGTGTGTGTGTGTGTGTGTGTGTGTGTGTGTGTGTGTGTGTGTGTGTGTGTGTGTATCTGTTCTTGCAGCTGCTGTTTTGTTCTCTGTGTTCTTATTGTATATTTTACATTAACTCCACAGAGTTATCAAGCGTTTATTATTGCAATTACACTTTAAACCGCAAATACTTCTACTTCTGTTGCACAGTGCAAACAAGATATTATCACACCATATGAGTCCTTTTATATTGCAATAACGGTCTCACAAATTAGATTTTTTTGCTGAAAATAAAATAAAAATAGTCCATATATGTGATAATGTCTCCTGTATTTATGTATAATTAAATGTATTAAATACTCATTTGATTATTTTCCTTTTTATTAGGAATTTGATGGACTCAATTACAAATAACGGTAACACTTTACCAAAAATAAAAATACTTCAAAAGCATTTATTAACCTAATGTTAATTTCAACATTTACTAATACATTATTGAAATCAAAAGTTTTGTCTGTTAATGTAGTTTAATGAACCTGAGCTAACATGAAGTAACAATAACAGTTGTGTTTTTATACACATAATCAAAGATGAATTAATACTCTAACTAATGTATTGCTGATTGTTAATTTTAGATAATAGTTAGGACTTTATTTTAAAGTGTTACTCGAATAAAAAAATGAATGTCACAAATTATGTACATATGTACAAAACTTGCATGGGACACTTTTTTTTTTTTAATAAATATATAAACGTAAATACAGCCCTACTTTTAACATCATAGAGCAAACCACTGTTTGTCATAGCAATGATTGTCCTTCTCCTCTTCCAGACAGAGTAAAGAGCTGCGAACCAACCAAGCGAAGACCTCAATGGAGAGCAGCAAAGCCATCAGTCAAGACAAAAGCATAAAGAACAAGGCTGAGAGGGAACGGTAATAGCAACTGCTCCCCTTTAAAGATCATACGGCCAGCATTACTTTATAGTTGCACTTTCCTTTGGGCTATGCTTGTATTTTGAGACGTTGCTATTACAGTGTAATGACCAAACAGAACCAATCTTGTGCAATTTCATCCATATAATTTGGGAAAACACCATATTGTATTCTTCTCTGATTGCATTAGTGATGCTCTGGTCAGTGCGCTAGTTTCCACCATTTCAAAATTCGACTTTTTTGTTATTCTCTCCAAATTTGACCACACAGTGCATACGTCAATCAGGAAAATAAACCCCATCTCCACAATGCTCCGATATGTTGATATTAAACCTTCCTTAAACTTTGTTTTGTAGGTAAACCATGTGTTTTTGCACCGTAATGAACTTCTACAAATCTACAACAACAACAAAAAAAAGCCTCATATCATCAATCTATAGACCAAACTTCCCAAATGTGGTTTTCATACCTTTTTGACTTTAACACACCAATACCGTATTTTCCGCACTATAAGGCGAACCATCAATGATTGACCTATTTTAGAACTTCATATATAGGGCGCACCGGATTATAAGGCGCATAAGATACTGCAGTCAAACGTTTGACTGGGTTTGCGTTATGCATCCACTAGTTGTGCTAAAGGGAATGTCAACAAAACAGTCAGATAAAGTCAAACTTTATTAAGCGTTCTGACAACTCCGTTCACTCCCATGGTAACGTTGTTCAAAAGTTAAAGGAGAACTCCGGTCAATTTTAACATTGAGCTCATTTTTTTGTAAATTTGGAGTGCTGTCAGTACAGATAACAACGATAAAAACCGGTGTTGCCTACACCGTGTTATCCTCTTTTTAAAATGTGCACCCTGTTGACTTAAACGGGGCAAGTTTTAAACCTGCTTTTAGCCTCTTAACAACCTTAATGTGTCATTACAAGTGCACAGCCATGTGAGTGAACACGGCGAATCTGACTGCAGTAAATGTGAAAGATATTAATAAAAATGTTTATTCAGCCAGCTCACATACCCGTATTTTCTTCCTGTTTTCGGTCGAAGTCCACAGTAGGCGATTGTCGAGTGCGCGATCATTGGTAACTAAGCAACAGATAGTTCATCCGGATCAGATGTTGAACACACGGAGGAGGTTTGATCGCGCCCGCGAACTCGACAATCGACTACTGTGGACTTCGGCCGAAAACATGAAGTAAATACGGGTATGTGAGCCGGCTGAATAAAGAGATTATTCCTGCCTTCGTGAAAGCTCGGATCACAGTTGAGACTGATATATGGATATATGGATATATCAGCCCAGGCATCCACGATCCATTGGCAGATAGTGGCGTAAGTCGGCCGGCGCTGTCTCCCCCTCTTGGTGAACGTGTGTTCACCATCCATATATAAGGCGCTCCGGATTATAAGGCGCACTGTCGTTTTTTGAGAAAATTAAAGGCTTTTAAGTGCGCCTTATAGTGCGGAAAATACGGTAAATTGAAAACACCAAAGAGGAGCTGAGGTTGTGTTTTGGGAAAGCTTAGGTATATTAGAATGAAACTTGGTAATCATCAACTGATATTGTTTCTGCAGGAGAGTTCGAGAGCTCAACAGCACGAACACAAGGAAGTTTCTTACAGAAAGAAAGAGGGTAACGATTCTAATCTTGTTTCAGATGTGTGTTTTTTTTCAAATGCATGTTTCTAATTATGTAAATGAACATGGGCGTTGATTGACAGCTCGCCATGAAACAGTCCAAAGAGAGCGAGCAACTCCAGGCGGCTCAGCGTGAACACCTCGAGAGGCTAGAGAAACACAACGAGGAGGTATTTCAGTGTTTGGGTCGTTCCTGCTGTGCTGTGCCACTTCAGCTCTGTGACCTCCACATAATGAATGTGCTTCTGTATTTAAGGATGCATATCCATATAACGGTATAGCAGACGTTCAGAAGCGCCCAGACTTCTCTTTCATATTTTGAATCTATTGAAATGTTGATTTGATCAAACAGGATACATGTTTTAGAGGCGCAAACCAGTTAACCAACATCACAAAACGCCACTGAATTCATTGATCCTTAATGATGTTGATTTCCCAGCAAAATGATGTCACTTCCTTGAAGATGATGCCATTAAGGATGCTAATTGAATAGGAAAAACGAAAAAATATTAAACTGATTTTCAGTTAACCCTGTAAAGCCTGATATAAGAAATGAAAAAGTTTATTGAAACTTTAGACAATATATTTAAAAAAATATTTAAGTATGCATATGTGTCTTTGTTGGGTATCATATTTGATAATTCAGGCTTTTATGGCTCATATAGTGAAAATATGGAGTAAAACTCCAGGCACAAACTGAGCAGAAAATATGCAATTTGGTACAGATGCTGATATTTATATGAGACATATAGGAAATATGCTAATACGGGACAGTCCGTCAGCGGTCGTGGGCGGAGCATGAGCAATATGACATCATATTGCTCAGAAAATCAAAACGGCTTGATTATTGAGTGTTTAGGCTTTTTGGGAATTAAAAAAAGGAGTGAATGTATTTTTTTTTTTATTGTATGGTGGTTGTGTCCACACACTGTCCAACACACATTTATATGCAAACGGCTTATAAATATGAATTTTGCATCCAATGACCCCTTTAATAATAGTATATAACAGACTACTGACATCAAATGCATATAAATATCAGTCATCACTCTAACCTGAGACCCGTCTCTCTGTAGGCTTAGCTTGTGCCTGCTTACATCACAGGGCACCACAACTTCCAATAGGAAAATTCAACTGCAGTAGCCACCGTTCAACCTGAAGAGGGCAGCACTCAGACGTTTTTACACCGTATATTGTAGAATTAAAACACTTTATACCCAAATGTCCAAAAAATTACTTGAATCAATGAACAACAATAATAATAAAGCCACAGTCTTACAGATCATTAACTAAAAAAAAGTTGGTTTAGGGTTTACCCCTTAATGAAATGTATTTTGAAAATATTTTGCATACCTGTAACTAAAACAGGAATGCAACATAAAACACCATATTTATTTTTATTCAGTTTGCACATTTTCGAGTTGTGAAAAAATAATCCAAAAATGTATATTTCCGGTTAAACCGTATACCTGAAAAGGTAGAAGTTTGCAATGTTATTGCACTACATGCATGTTCAACATGTTGACCTCCAATGTTGAGGTAGTTATTTATTTTTATTCAGTTTGCACATCTTCCAGTTGTGAAAAAATATTAAAAAAATATATTTCTGATTAAACCGAATACCTGAAAAGGTCACAGTTATGGTCATAGTTATGTGGTTTTGAAATATGTGGCAAAGCAAATAAAATGCAAAAACTATTACTTCTGATTTTTTTTTTTATCCTCCCAGAAAAGTTATAATTTTTAAAATGTTGTGGAAAAGAAAATAAACAGAAAAAAACTGTTATTTAGCTAAATTATTTTTTTTCCAAATGAGAAATAAAAGCCCAATGTGACATATATGTAACATTAAAAATGTATCATAAACGCCCAATGTGACACATATGTAACATTACAGATCTTTGACAGGGAGTGGTTGTATTTAAAAAACAACAGCAGAAACATGTTTTAAGTGCAGGTCCGTTTAGTCTGTTTTATATGCCCCATAATTTTCCTATAAGGGGAAATTGGTCCGGGTTCTTATGGGTTAATTACATTTTTTATTTAAATGCTTAGTTTTATGATCAAATCTCTGTAGTTTTACAACATATAATGCAATGAAATACAATGATGATTGAGAGATGAACAAATAAACCTTCCTCAAAAGCCTGATTATCATATTTGAGACTCACATTTGAACATGATTTTGCTAAAAAATTATAATCAAGTAAACTTAAGTTTATGGAAGTAAAATAATGCCAAATGTTTTTGAAACAAAAAGCCTGTTGAATTGTACTACTTGAAAAAAATATGCATTGTATTAACCCTGCTTGTATTTTAATGCATTGTATTTTTAGGGCTTGCATTTTTATAGGCTGAAATTTAGCATGGTTGAATATTTAAGCTGTGAATATTTCAAATCAAAACATTTCAAACACATTTTCATTAGTAAAATTTCAATAATCCATATTCACCTTTCATATTTCACTTCCAAAATATTCAAACTGATTAAAAATACAACCTATAATATTCAACAGGCGGTTTTCGGTTTAAAATGGTTTTGTTCTTAAAAAGATATATAATAGTGTGGCATGACAATATAATGCATAGCAGGAATGACCCGTTTGATGATGCATGAAACTGTCATGTGGATATAATAGATCACTCACCATGAATTTTATTTTGCTCTTTTATTTAGCTGTTGAACTCGTGCTATGCAAAATCACAATGCCAAGGTAGGACTTTCCTCTCTTAAATCAATTTTACAACGCCTCCCCTTCCCATGATTCTTTCATTTCTCCCCGTGTGGAAGTCCAGTCCATCATATGTGTGAGTTATTGCTCGTCCTCCACACGTTCGAGGACTACTGAGCAGACAGACGCGGCCGAGCCGTTCCTCATGGGTTCTCTGTTTATTTTGCCCGTCAGGAAGCTTGCACTCATCTGGAGATGTCAGTGCGTGTTCTTGCTATAAACAACTGTGTAAAAAATTGATTGAATACTGAATTTTGCCTCTTGTACCACAAAAGTGAAACCTCTCTCTCCTCAGTTACTCAACGTCATGCCATTCTAAACCCTTTTGACTTTCTTTGTTCTGAGTTCACTCAGGTCTGTCAAGATCCAAAATGAAAAAAAAAAAAAAAAACCCCAAATTTTCACCTTTTGGGTTTCACTGAAGAAAGTATTTTTGCCGTGTTCTCCAGTACAAATACCTAAACATTCTTAAAGCAAGATATATTTACTTGAAAAGCATAAAGGGTTAGTTCACCCCAAAATGAAAACTCTGTCAGTAATTCTCTCCCTCATGTTGTTCAACCCCGTAAGACTTTCGTTCATCTTCAGGACACAAATTAAGATATTTTTGATTAAATCTGAGAGCTGGATCACTCCTCCATAGGCTTCTTAAGGGATCGAAACTGGCCGGCCCAAAAGTTATGAAAGACATCGTTAAAATAGTCCGAGTGACTACAGTGGCTCAACCTTAAGTTTATCAAGCGATGAGAATACTTTTTGTGCGCAAAAAAACTAAAATAACGACTTTATTTCAACTATTCATTTCCTTCTCTGTGGGCCTTGAGATTTCACGTAGTGTAACAGCGCAGCGCTTCTGTGTTTCACGTCACACGCAGGCTCACTATTGGCCGACGCTGGTCATGTGTGTGATGCGTCTGACGTACAACACAGAAGCGCTGCGCTGTTACACTACGTGAACTATCTCTAGGCCCACAGAGAAGGAAAGGAATAGTTGAATAAAGTCGTTATTTTTGTTTGTTTTTTGCGCACAAAAAGTATTCTCATCGCTTGATAAACTTAAGGTTGAGCCACTGTAGTCACTCGGACTATTTTAACGATGTCTTTAATAACTTTTCTGGGCCGGACAGTTTCGATCCCTTAGAAGCCTATGGAGGAGTGATCCAGCTCTCAGATTTAATCAAAAATATCTTAATTTGTGTTCCGAAGATGAACGAGAGTCTTACGGGGTTGAACAACATGAGGGAGAGTAATTACTGACAGAGTTTTCATTTTGGGGGTGAACTATCCTTTTAAGAGATTAAGGGCCCTATTTTAACGATCTGAAACGCAAGTGTCAAAGCGCAAGTAACTTTGTGGGCGGATCCCGGCGCTGTTGCTATTTTCCCGGCGGGATAAATGCCTCTTGAGCCTGGCGCAAATCTAAAAGGGGTTGGCCTGAAGTAGCTTCATTATTCATAGGTGTGGTTTGGGCGTAACGTGAAATAAACCAATCAGAGCGTCATCTCACATTCCCTTTAAGAGCAGGCGCGCATGTTGCATGGCGGATTGTTATTATTATGGCGGATTAACCAGGAGCTCGCCAGGAGCGGTTCACAGCCGAGGAGACCGGCGTTCTTGTCAGGGCAGTGAAAGACAGAGAAGTGGCGTTGTATGGGGATGGGAGAAACCCACCCAAATCAGCGTCGGTTAAACAGGCGTGGGAGGAAAAAAACTAAATTTTTTACATCTTCATGGACACCACAATGATTTCCCTCATGTGTTAATATTTTTCCTTGTTATAATGTATGATTTGCAAAAATAAAAACTGCTGCATCTGTGTTGATGAGAGAATCTAAGTGTATGCGCGTTGTGCACCCGCTACATTATAGCCAAGCATGCGCGCTTAAAATAGCATTATGAACAACGCGCAACGCGCCACTGACTTTAGACTAGTTTTTTTCTGGTCAGTGGCGCAATTGTTTTATAGAACAGCAAAATAGCATGAGGGAAAGTTTGCGCCGGAACACGCCTCCTCTTTGCGCTGAACCGCCCCGGGGAGCGCAAGTGTATTTCTTAGTTAACCGACGTGTGTCTGTGGAGGGAAAAGCCCGCTTCGCGCGGGTGCAAAATAGGAATGATACATGCGTCAGTGTACAAAGTCATTTGTGCCGGGTGCAAGATAGGGCCCTAAGGGTTGTTTTCTGAAAAATTTACCAAAATGAAACTAGAGTAAAACAAGAAAAGAATATCCACCAATAGGGTCATAAAAATAAACTTAATTCAAGAGGAAAAGAAATGTATTTTTCTGACTCTATTTGTCAATATTTTTCTTGACATACAAGACTTGACACATGACTTCTCAAGTAAATGTATCTTGATTCAAGAATGTTTAGATATTTGTACTGGAAAACAAGACAAAAATACGTTTTTTTTTTTTTTGTGCAATCAACTATTCCTTTAACGGGTTTCACATTGCAAATGTTCACAACTCCAGACTGAGGTTGTGCATCTTAAATGCTTGTGTCTGCTGGAGGATTGTTTCTTCTGCTGTTGATTTAAATGCAGTGCATAAATTAGTTGATTTTTCCATCCACTTCATCTACTACAATCACCAGAGGAAACGCTGAACGTCACATTGCATTTCCTCTGATGGCTGGTGCCGAGTCCTATAATACGCTTCCAACCAGCCTAATCTAACTAAAACACAGGACGTGTCATGTGACCAACTTCAAAATGTTGTTTGTGAGCTTGCAATATCCTCCATTCAGAAATGTTTGTTCCCCAGCGCACATCTCATGTTGCGATGTCATTCAATAAACAGGATTTGTGAAATCCAGGGCTTTTTATAACCCGGGTCTCTCTCGATAGCATTACCTCTAGAGGCCGGCGCTGTAATTCCTCATTAAAGAGGGCCTATCGTGCTATTCCCCATGTTCCTCTCTCTTTAGTGTGTAATGTTGCTGTTTGAGCATGAAAACGCTCCAGTTCTTCTCTATATCAGTGTCAGTGTTTCTGAACTCCTGAAACGCCTCCATTGTAGTCTTGAGTTTCTTCCGGGAACGAACACGCAACAATATTCCTCATTATAATAATTCATCCGCAGAATAAAGGGGCGGGGCCTGGTTGAGTTAGTTAGTAGTGTGTTAAACTGGCGGTTATGGTACGAGGCGGGGCATTTCCCAAACACACTCGAAGCGCTCGACCAATCACAACACACTGCTCCAGCCGACCAATCAGAGCACAGTGTGCTTTTCAGAAGGAGGGGCTTCATAGAGACAGGAACTAAACAGAGTGTTACTGACAGACTGGGAAGAGAGGAGCCGCAACAATGGAGAATATGAGGAGAATAATCAACATTCAAGCAGGAAAACCTGTCGTGTAGAGCCTAAAACAACATCAAGACTTTGCATAACATGGCTTTTTTAATGTACTTCACTGTCATTACAGGCCAAAGAGACTCAGCACATGAGGACACAAGAGAGGACAGACTGACGACCAATCAAACTCACGGCTCATTTGAGGTCACACAGTGAGAACGCACCCGTAAACACACTTTTTCACTCTTAAATGCACATAGAATCTGTTTTAGTGATGTCCGCTTCATATTTATTTACTTTTTATGAATGTTGAAATATTTATTGTATATGAGCAAACAGATGCTTAACGAGATAAACTAAGCATTTGATTTTGATCTTTGCTTTACAATAACTTTTAAGGTCAACGTGAAATTAAAATCGACTATATTTATTTTTTAAAAAGACATTCCTGGTGTTACTGTGAATGATTCACCAGTGCTTATTATTATAAAGAATAAAAGTCTTTTACAAAATATAATAACTTGATTAACCCTGGTTGTAAACCTGTGATAGCTATTCTGGTACAGAACGCCAACTTTTTACCACACAATCAATTTATTTTTGTATTTTCAGAAATATATTTTGTGAATATGCCATTACCTGAGTGAAATGAATTGTGAATGCTTTTTCATGTTGATTTTAAATATCCTCTACAGTGGAATATAGCTGTAAAATATAAATTATGTATTTGAGTCTTTAGAAATAACACTGTTTTTCATACTGATATATTATAAAGATCATGCAAAATACTTGTTGTATTGATAGAAAATCTATTTGATCATAATGCAATTTTACTGGTAGACTTTGCGTTTTCATCCTTAATGTTCTTTTCTTCAACATTTTGAAATGCTTGTGATGTTCCTTATTTTTGAATGGCTTTGGATCAAATCCTTCTGCTCAATGACTTCATGAAGTTCAAGGTTCGTTACAGATGAAGCCGATTACCACAGAAACATAAATCCCTCCAACGGTTTGTAAAAACAGGGAAAGCTTGAACAGACCAGGTCAGTAAGTGATTTTCTCACACTAGTCTCATCTTAGACAGAGTTAAGATACGTTTAAAAGTCTGCGAAATTTAGAGTGACTTTGGGAGCGACAACCAATAGAAATGAAAGCTTCACACTGCCGGTCGCTGCATAAAAAGCTTAAAGGCACAATATGTAGGTTTTTTCGCCACAAGAGGGCGCAGTTTCCAGCAATAACACAGGCGTAGGTTGATGACGCAGTGATGAAGTGAATGATGGGACTTGCTGTCAAGCTGATGGATCTAATAATGTTTATGGATGAGTGCAAACATTCATGTTTTTTAACATTACAGTGGTATGAAGCAGGTCGCGATTGCTAAAGAGACAGATATCACACGCGAGTCCCGCGGATATAAAGAAATAAGGACATTTAATTCTACCGAACTACCCGCAAGTGCTGGATTACTCACACAGGTCAGTTTATTAGACGAATTAAACTTGTGAGGTAACGCAGCGCTGCTTCACTTGGTCTAACGTTACACTATCACACTAAACGGCATTTAAATGTGTGTTGAAAGTTATAATCACGGGTGCACATAACTGGTACGCAGGTACGCATGCGTGACAAAAATTAGGAATGCGTAATGCGACTTGTATTACTCCGCGTTTTTGCGTACTTAACCGATCTTCTCATCTAACTTTACACACGACATGTTGCTTGTCAACTAAGTTATACTATCAGAGATGTCCAAAAAGCAACAGACGTTAAGCAGCTTTTTTGGCGTTTCGCCACCTACAAAGAAACGCCATCTGGAGCCAGAGCCGAAAAAAACACTTTTTTTCCGGAAAAGTGGCTCAAAGATGTGCAGTGGCTTGAAGCTAACGATGAGCGCACTGAAATGTGGTGCAAGATTTGCCGCTCAAATCCACATCTAGCAGACAAAACAAGTGCGTTTTATAAAGGCTCAACGAATATCAACCATCCTTTATTTGACAAACATGAAAAGAGCAAGGAGCACACGAATGTGGCGCAAGAAATTGTTAATAAACAAGCTAGCCGAGAAGAAATGTCCAGTCGCCCACTTGCCAGATGGCGAGACAAGCTGAATGAAGAACAGCGGCAAGCTCTGTTTAATATTTTTCTCCTCGCCTTCCATGTTGCATAAAGCTAAACACGCACGTCCCATGTCTTCCTATTCTGAGGATATTCCTTTACTGAAGCGGCTAGGAGTAAATGTCGGAGGTGCATATCATTCACGTGAAGGGGGCACGCGCATCATGCAAAGCATCGCCCGCGCCATCAGCGGGGAGTTACGAGCCAAGTTGCAGTCTGCTGAATTTTGGGGGCTGCTTTTTGATGGATCTGAGGACATCACAAAAACTGAGCAGGAAATCGTTTACATTGTTTCTGTGTCCAGCACCGGAGAGTTTACCTCAGATTTTATTGGACTGATTGAATTGGGTTCTGACCGAACTGCGCAGGCCATAACAGACGGACTTGTGAGACTTTTCCAGGACACAGGCTTGGATGACTGGACAACAAAGTTGGTCGCTGTGTGCACAGACGGGGCTGCTGTCAATGTCGGTATTTACAACGGCGTCGTGCCAAAACTTCGGCGACTTGCTGCGGTTGGAGACTCCCTTGTGCACATTCTGTGCACCGCACACACACTGGAGAATTGCGCAAAATCAGCTGATCGCAACGTTCCTTACTGTGAGACATTTAATCGCTCTGTGGTCAAGCTGCTGCAGTTTTATTTACAAAAAGGTGGAGCAAAAAAAACCCTGCTGAACTGAAGAAGCTGTGTGAAGAAAATGGCGATATCCTTTGTGAAGCTGGGTAAGTTTCATAATATCAGATGGTCTGCATGGAGGCATGAAACGCTGTTAAAAATATCAAGACCATTGCCAGCCATTAAAATGCAACTGGCTAAGAGTGATAACAATGACTTCCAGCATATCTGCGCAGAGTGTTTTCAGTGCTTTCTGTCAAACATGGTTGACATTGGTAACATTTTGAAGACCACTTCCATTATGGCGCTTTTCCATTACCAGTACCAGCTCGACTCGACTCACCTCGACTCGGCTCGCTTTTCGCTCCGTTTTCCATTGCAGAAAGTACCACCACAAATAGTACCCGGTCGTCATAGCGACGCATTTCGTTCCCCCATCAAGCTCTCGCTGGATCCTCTCTTCGGCAACCAAACAAAGGAATGTCTGGGATGGGACGGTATGAAAATTTCATATCACGATTATAGTGACCAAAGTTATCACGATTATCAATATTATCACGGTTTTGTTAAAATGAGATGGAAATGTTCAAAAAGAACTGATGCTCACCCTGAAAACATTTGAAAATCAACAAACAAAAAAATACAATTAGCAAGCTAGCAGCTATGCACTTTTTTAAGCATAAACATTATATTAACATTAACATGGAGCCCTGAGTTTTCCTAGTGCAGATTTTAATGAACCCGTCATTAAACCCTATCATTAATAATGATAATAACACTTATGGATGTGTGTAAGTTATTATGACTGAATATTATTATTATTAATAAATCACTTTCTCTCTCTCTCTCACACACTCACACACACACGCGCGCACGCACGCACACACACTTTAAATGAACAAAATATGTTGGTTGGGTCAGGGTGACTAAACTACTGGAATACTTATAATGACTGTTGTAAATAGCAACACACTACACAGCGCACATCCATGTCTCGGATCACCGTGGACGCAATCTCTGGTTTCATTCAAATGTGTATGTCTTGCGTCTCAGTTTTGACTGTTTTGAAAATTAAATCAGAGGAATTTAGTATTAATACTACTACAATATTGTTGTAGTGATCACATTTACTTTACGATTGATTTGGACACTGTAACTTATATAATGGATTTATAAACCGGCAAGATTTAAAAACATTAAGTTAATCACAATTCAATATTTCATGTCCCTTAAATTATTTCTGTGGTAAAAAATAAAAAAATAAAACTGTAATAAGTTTACTATGAATGGATACAATACATTATCCCTTAAATGTCACCCTTAATAGTTTGAATATGTTCGTTCGTCTTGGCTCAAATCCACTTGCTGTAAAACTTTTCTCTTCGCGGAAGCTTTGCAATAATTACAAGTGAGATAATGAAATAATTCATCTCCAATAAATTTTTTGTCTAATTATTTGCCCAAGTTAGTTGTGGTATTAAGGTAAAAATTAACTCAGTGGGTGGTTGTCACGTAACGTTAGATGACTTAGCAGATTTGACGTGTTTCCCCCTTTTGCAGCGACTTTCCTCTTGCAAGATTTGCAGACAGGATGCCCATCCTCGATTAAATTGCCCTCGGGACTCTTGTAATAGCCAAAATACGACCATACCTCCGATTTTGTCCTCTTGGATGGCTGAAAAATCTCCCGTGCGCTGTCACTGCCTTCCGCCATGTCTTCTCGCGCAAAAAAACAACATTGCATCTGCGCGCCTGCTGAGTGCTCGCGCCTGCGTCAGACTGATTCTGGCTGGACAGGATTTACCGCGAGTTTTCAAAATCACGATAATCAAACACGGTTTTTATGATAATTAAATTTTAAACGATAATACTAACCGCCAGGACATTTTGTCGTGGTTTATCGTGAAACCGGTAATCGTCCAATCCCTAGTCTGCACCTCCTCGTTTGACCACGGCGTATTCTTCCGAGTTGCCATAATAATAGTAGTAAGTTTAGTAACTATCTCTGGCCAAACTATTTAAAAATGGCGGGGTTATTCTGGATACTCCATCTGGCGTGTGCAATGATGACGCAGATTCTCTGTGACCAATCAGCAGTCGGCATTGTTTTCACGTCACATTTTAGTATCGCCTTAGCTCGCCTCAGCTCGCTTAGAACCTCGCCGGAGGTGGTACGAAAAAAAGTACCCGAAAGCAGGTACAGGTACAACTTTTACACGAGCCGAGGCGAGCTGGTACTGTGTAGTGGAAAAGCGCCATTAGGTTTCAGAAGGAAAAGCTGACCATTGGAGAATGTAAGGATGAACTCATGGTGGCCATTGGACAGTTCACACTTCTGCTTCATGGTGAAGGCCAGAGGGCACACACTGTTTCTAATGCTGATGCTGACAGGGATAAGACAAACTTACTCAGGGGGTTAATTGAAGAGTTTGAAATCAGATATGACTCCCTCAAGTCATGTGATAATTTTTTAGTATTTGATCCTTCAACATGGCCTCAGGAAATGCAAGACCTCCACAGTTTTGGAAACGCAACAGTTTGCAGCATTCTCAAGAAATATGAGGCCACATTGCAACTTGACAAAGACACCACTGTGACAGAATGGATGCGCTTAAAGCAGGCAGGAAAACGCCTCTTCTGTGTATGACTTGGTCCAAATAGTAAATACAAGTAACCCAGATGCTTACTCCAACATCAACAAGGTGGTTAAGCTGTCTCTTACGCTGCCTTTAAGCAGTGCAGCTTGTGAGAGGGGATTCTCACATCTCAACATAATTAAAACCAAGTACAGATCTCGTCTGTCACATGCTCGTCTCACAGCCCTGATGCAGATACACCTGTCAAAGCAGACCACAGAGACATTTGACCCAAAGCAAGCTGTTGACCTGTGGATGGAGACAGCTAATCGGAGGCTCAACCAAGGACAAGGAGGTGCATCTTCATCTACCATGCAGGAAGCTGAAGCAGAGGACACTGAAGAGGACAGTGGTGGTGACACTGAGGAGGACAGTGAGGAAGACTGCACTTTATAAGGCCACGCTACATATGGTG